GTTCTTTGTACTCTTTCCAGTTTTACCCTTTTCACTTTGCTCTTCCCGTAAGATCAATGTTTATTCTGTTGCCGATGCGGAGAATCGTTTATTGTTGCCTGGTTTGTGCACATCTCTCCTTTCCGCTGAACGCCACAATTTCGGAAAAAGTTAGCAAGATGGTAGGAAGGATGGCAAAGGGGATTATACCAAAGGAGGAATCTTAGAGAGGGGGTCTTATTTGGCAAACATTTTCCACAACGTGATTGTATGCCTCATCACGATGCTGTACCCTGGTACCAGTAGTACAAAGAACAGTACCTCAACTACTTCCTCGTCTTCATTCTCTGTTCGTTTTGTGACCACCTTCTTGCCGTCGATGATTTTCGTTGTCGTCGACGTCTTTCGTACGGTGGCATTTTTACCCGGTTCTGATGCAGATGTGAAGCGGATTACGGTAGAGAAGTGACTGGAATACGGTAATGCAGGTGAAAAGTTGGACGAATAACAATGAAATGTTGGACACACCAATCATCCTCAGTTTTCTTCTTATTGCCATCCTTATCATAGAAGATATGTACCCGACTCGATGGAAATTTGCCTTCTAAATGGGGTAGGTTAATTATTGCTTCTGTAAAAAAAAGGTGAAATTACTGCACCCAGATGTTACAATATTTGGAAACATGAAAATTAAAAAAAACAGAAATAAAATACTTTTTGAGTGCATACAAGTTTAAATGGAGTAGATTGGACCAATAACTAGCAATCTCGGAGATTTAGGCGCCGTTCGCCCTAGAGGGGGCATTTTGCGCCTTAGTTAGATCCTTTCGTTGGTTCATGCTAACTAATAGCTCTCACTTTGATCAGACCTGTAAACTCCTGTGAAGCTACAAAATTGTCCGAATGAGCCATTTGTATGACAGGAATTTTCAGGTCCTCGTGAGGTGGCCTGCACAAGCTTAGCTGAGTACTTCTCGGTTGTCCCCACCAAGCCAAAGCGCCGAATATTTCCTCAGAAAAGGGGAAGTAGAGAAGTAAGAAAAGGTAATTTCTGAAATGGTGGCATTCAAAGTCCTTTGAAATCAATCCCTTCTTTCTGAGCTGCTTCCTACGTTCCCGTCCTCCCCCCTCTCCCTCTTCCCCGACCATTCGAAAATTTCCAGGACAGGGTCTTTGGCGTGTCCCTTCTCAATTTTTACCCTTTTCACTTTGCTCTCCGTAAGATCAATGTTTATTCTGCTGCCGATGCGGAGAATCGTTTATTGTTGCCTTTGGCACATCTCGCCCTACGCGTGTATACAAAGGATAAATAAACAAATATTACGGCCGTCATAAAAGCACATGTAATCGTACGTTAAATGAAAACCTCAAAATTAGTTTTTCTGACTCTCCTCAAAGGCATGTAATTAAAACTTCGGGTTTTGATTCTATGAGCCCTTTCGATGGCTTTCTACAACCACATCATCGCATTGTTAGATATTCTGTTAAGCGCAGTGTATCCAGACTTTGCGACGGCAGCGGCTTCCGCGCGCTATGCGCATGTCCTTCTCGATGGCATCGACACGCGTCGAACGGGGCGATCGAAGCGCTTGCAGCGCGAAGTCTGAACGCTTACTAATTCAGATTGGTTTACTTCTCTGTATTTAAACAATATTCTGCAGTTGACGACATTGGGCTGGGCATAGAGAACCAGAGTCTTCTGAACTGGCGTGTCTTTCCTCTTACTGCTTGGGAAAGGAAATGACTCAAAATAAGAACATGCGTTTACAAAGGCGACCTAGGGAGGCGAAGGTAGAATGGAAACGGTGCTCACACGGTTTCTTGTCCCGCCCAAGGTTCGCCCACTTGGATATCGGGCGGAATGCCTTTCAAAACTCTGATTTCTGTTTTGGTTAGGAACTCATACAAATTCGGGTATTGTTTTGCAATTTCTAGGCGGTTGTTACAGGGCTGGGCAGCACCTGCTAAGAGCACAAGGCATGTGATGAACCGCCCTGGCATTCTCTGTCTTTCCCATCCTTACATGATGAGTCAACTCCTATCAGGACTTATTTCAAAGGGTAACTAAACACTGATCTAAACGCTATGAAGCGCAGGATCTTGCGCGAAGCAGTCTGTGTTTAGGCAGAACTCATTCACTCAATGTGTTTGCAATGGCGATTTGAAAATGCGTGTGCATGGCCTTCTTCCAAAGAATCAAGCGCCATCTCAGCGCACACTTCACTCTTTTACCTTGAGAGTTTGACGACTTTTTACCGGGTTTTCACTGACCACTCGGTTTCGAAGAAATCTGGTGGGAACGTACAGCGTCTGGAACCATCGTTTCAGGCTCGGTGCGTAAATCTGCGTCCATACTTCACAGCGGAGAAGGCTTTTTGGAAGAAGTGCTTCCAAGTGCTAAATGAGTACCGATCGGCGCCGGTCACTAGTGTTTTGAAGAGAGAGAGAGAATAGTAGATGACGATAATGCGTGATTAGGCGTCATAAAAAGCAATGTTACTATTTCGTGCTCGCAGCAGACTGCGTTAATTTTCGACGCCTAATCACACCATCTAAGTCCCTCCTGTTCTCCTATTTTCTCTCAGAACATAAATAGGTCGCGATCGGTACCCAACTATCCTTTGGGTCATCTTCTAGCAAAATCCCGATTCTGGTTATGAAGGATGAACGCAGCCCAGAAGGTAGAAGGGTCATCCATAACTCAGTAGTATTGTTGTTGCATTCACGTCGCCATGTACAGGAATCCAAAAAATAGTGGAATCCAGCACTTCAATCCCATTTATGCGGTAAGCTTCCAACATGGTGGTCCCATATCCATGCCTCCATTTAGTTTTTTCTCATGTTTGTAGCGCTGGACACCAAAAAGCAATCCCATTCTGTCCCGAATTTGTCAGACAATCAGTCATTCCAGATGAGGCAATAAAAGCGTATTCGACGCCCACAAGGAGGCGCACCAAAGAAGATGAGAAGTTGATTGAGGAGGCAAGATTCCAACATGGCATCATATGTCTTCTGTTAAAACAACTCAGAGAATGGATCATTCCCAGCTTTTTTGGAAAGGCTCGTGCTCGGGTTGGTCACGAGCCAAAAAGGATTGTGGAAGAAGAGCACTTCAATATATGTAGAAAACGAAAGAGCAAAGAGCAGTAGATTTAAAGCCATTGATACGGAATAGCTCTGTCTTCAGCCTTTGCCTTCATCCCTTTCTGGGATACACGACGCATTCCTCTTCCATTCGAAAGAGCGTAGTGACTTAATCAGAATGCGAATGTGGCTCTATACCAATGACTTGCGGCTGGCTCAGCCCGGATGTAACAAATTCAGTGTTTTTATCCCTCCCGCAGGCGAATCTGGTACCATCTTAAGCGGTCTTCGGAGTTTCAGAAGGCTTGGTGACCAAGGCGAAAAGTCGACCCAGGTGGATTCGAACCCCGGCACCGCCGCGAGTGGTAAGCGCACGCCCACTTGTCACTACACCACCTCCGCCTCCTTATTTACTTTTAATTCTTCCAGTGCTTTTTTCACTTTGGACCATTCTACTGCCACTGAATATGAATCGCGTACGTAGTTGAGCGAGGGCCGCAAGGCTGTCGTACCTTAGCAGGAATTCCTCTGAGGGGGTCGTCGCTTCCTTCTCAGAGCGAATATTTTCGGTTCTTTGACATTTCTTGTTTTTTCTGTTTCAATGCCGCATGCCCCGCACGACCATATACCCTCCCCCGGCCGCTGCAACCTATACCGCGAATTTTTGTCGCATTTGGGATAAGTAGATGCGTAGAATAGAATTTATTTAAAAAAAGACTATTGGAAAACTAGCAGTAGGAAATGCGAGAATACTATAGAAAGATGGTAGGCAGGATACGGAAGGGGTTTTAACCGAGCCTGAACCTGAGCAGAGTCCGTAATTTTGCACAAAAATTTTCACCCAACCGCAGAATGTGACCATGGTGTCAATGGGAAACAGGCCTTTCTCAGAAAATAAGGATGAACTCCTGACTGATTTGTTCACCGAGACGTATTCAACGAAATTTTCCATTCCTTTTCGACTTCGCATAAGCGTTTTACACAGAAAAAATGACCTAAAAATGTAGGACTAAATAAAACTAAAACTGGGTAAGATATACCCAGAGTTATGCGATTACAGGCACACATCTACGTCTCAATAGCAAGATAGGCGGACAAATGGGAGGAGACTCACACACTAGTGGAAAAAACTTGGAAAAGGTCAGGAACCATAATTCGAGAGCCTCATTAAACATTTTTGTTGATTTGCACGCAAAAATTTTACTTTATAGGTGAAACAGCCTGAAGAAATGCTGCCGACGATTACCTGAGGCTTGGATAATTGGGGGATCAATCAATACATTACGAAAGTATTTTAAAGATTGGTTTTGCCTTGTCATTTGTTTTTTGATAGCGGTACCCTCGTGCTATCCCATCATTGATACACAACTTAACACACTTCATTACGATGAACGATCCTTCCACGGTAATGAAGTGGGTTATGTGTCTCCACCCATCTCTCCGCCCTACTCAACAATCACGTAATGGGTCCTTAACTCCTAGTTCATTATACACTCTCATTCTGGTTACTTTTTCGACAACAAAAAATGAACATGCTGGGCAGATAGCCCTGCGGATACTTAGCCAAAGTTAAATAGCCAAGCAGTTCACAGCTAGATAGAACCCTCCCCCTCCTAAACAAAAATTCAACTTACTCTTGAATAGAAATGAATCCGAAGGAAATGCGAACGAGTCGTCGAAGAAGATGTCCTGAAATGAGATGTTTCACTGGGATTTCACCTTAACCATTTTAATTTTTTTTATTTCGTATTAGTTAGATAATTAACAAATAACAGTCGTTTCAAATAGTAATGGTAGTGAATAAAGAATACCATACTCAGCCGAAAAGTAGCGAAGGAAAACTTCGCAGATGAAATATTCACTGCTATCATAATTAGAAAAGTTTTCTGGTGCAGTTCGGCTTGATGGGGGCACCGAATTTTACCTAGCTAAACTTGAACACGCCATCTTGTGAAAACTGTAAACTCCTCGGCCAAAAAGGCTCACTAGCACCGTTTGGAGTTACAGGTGCTTCCAGGTATCACCAAAGTAGAACCTGTCATTTGACAAGAACTACCAAGAGGAACTAATGAAAGTGCAAAGTGCAGAATGCCCCCTCGGAATTGCCCCCCTTTCAAGTCCGAAAGTGGCGAATCTGCAGGAGTGCTATTTTTCCATCTTACTTCAAATTCTCTCACACAGGGCACATCACTGGTTGGGGATTTTAGTCGAGTCTGTATCCCCTTCCCTTCGGCCCCTCTGTCTCCCCTCAGCGGATCGAGCCGTCGAATAGAGTCAAAATAAATTTCTCCCAGCCCGCATCAACGACCTGTTCTCACTGGCCGCCAAATACGAGCGCCCTGTGCAGGATTGCCCGTGCTCTCACACTTTGTGTGTGGACTTTTGGTGGGCAAGCACAGTATAGATAGTCCGCACAATAGGTTCCCTGCACGACTTCTCTATACAGTAACCCCTGTTCCGAGTCAAAAGTTGCTTTTAACTTGAAAGCCTCTCGACGACGCTCATTGAGTAGTTGCAAATCATCACTTATGAGTTTTTGTCAACG